AACACCGCTATTAAAGAACTCATGCCTGGTATTTAGAAAACTTGGTGATGAAATTTTTCGGTTTACATTTGTATTACATTTACATGTTTATGTTATAGGAAACAAAGTTTAATGATCGTTTCAAGATCATCTAGTGTGTGTTAAATTTATCTACGATACTTTTGCATGAACTCTGCATTTGCTTTAAAAACCAATCATAATTAAACCTTTGGGTCTTTTTAAACATGACAACATATGGAAAATCTTTTTTACAATTTTACAAACAAGTCCTCGCAACCAAAGGAAGCAGCACGACAAATTTATTCCAGCAGCTAAAGCAGAGGCACGCAGCGGAGTGGGAGAAGTTCATTTTTCATTTCCCAGCGAAATGAAAATACCCGCAGCACCAGGACAACATCCAAAGTTAAGCAAGCAACCGTCCCTGACATGTTTTCGAACTGTGTGCCATATGGGGCACAGTGGAATACGATAAACGCTGTCGCGATGTATATTGCAAAAGACATGATGCCCATACATACTGTGGAAAAGCCGGAATTCATTAAACATGCTAAAAGTTTTTACAAGTTTCTAAGCGTTTACAATGGCGTGGTCTGCCATCTCACAAGCATATTTTTTGGCTTGTCAGATTGCACTTTAAAAAAAAAAAAAAAAAAAAAACCCAAAATAAAGTTAAAACTTGTTTTGAACCATTAATTTGTCATCTATAGTTTGATTTTGAGCAGGGGACGGGGAAAAAAATCGATTAAAATCGAAAATCAGATTTATTGTGAAAAAAAATCATATTTTATTTTTAGGCCATATCACCCAGCTCTAATGACAACATATGGAAAAAATTTTAACTGCCGTAATTTTTTTTTTTTTTACTTTGATGGCCCTACTCTGCCTTGCCATAACCCATCTGCTTCTGGCTAGCTACCTGAGGCTAATGCGGTGTACACAGAAAACATGACGGGAAAAAGAAAGTAATTTTCTCTCATTGTCAAAGGTAGATTCAAATCTTTTGATAAACAACCAACAAACGAACCACACCTCTTTTATGACGTTGAAGTCGGACAAGATCTTGTTGTCCGTAGAGGTCGACCGATGTATCGGTTTTGCCGATTAATCGGCACCGATAGTTGATTCCCGGAACTATCGGTTATCGGCAAAAATCCACGCCGATAGGTTTTTCCGGGTTGCGTCAGAGCTGAAGTGGCTGAGAACGGTCTGTTGTCCTTATTCAGTGCGAGAGCCAACATATCTATGGCAAGAGCCGCCTCTATAGGCGAAAATCGCTGTAAAGCACGTGCTTTTGTTTTGACACGTGATACTGTTCGTTGCAAGGAGAGCGCAAGCTGCCTGGAGAGAGCACGGTGCACGGACAACGCTGACACTTTAAATGCACGTTTAAAACACAGACAGCGAAAAGGTATGTATACAGTACACTACAGTACATGTTTTCATCTCAATATAAAGTAATTCATTTGTTGATTAGATTCTGCATTGGAGTAAGAACAGCAGTATGTTTGTCGACAAGGCTGAGAGGACGCCAACATTAGCAGTACATCAAGCGGTTAAAATAATGTGGCAAAAATACAAGTCCGACCCAAATGTTTAATGTCATGATTGTTAC